TAAAGCGAAGCGCAATAAAACGAGGTATGCCTGTACATAATCCCTTAGAGGGTACAATGTTCACTTTCAAAAACAGGGGTAGGCAAAATACAGCCTGAGGGCCAGATCCAGTCTGCCAAGTGATTCCATCCAACCCATGGTGGGTCCTATGGCTCTGCCTGGCCCAACTGCAGGAGACAGCCTTGGCCTTGGCACATGCAGTCAGTCCCGTCATCCCCAGAGATGCCACCTGGCACAGAGCACAGCCCACCCTACCCTCGTGTGCAGCTTTCAGGCATGCCAGGAGCTGTAGTCCATGGGGCTTGGTGGCACAACGGCAGAGCAGGGGACTTCTGGCTGCTGCTGCTAGTGTCCCACTGCCACCTCAACTGGACATGGCCCTGCTGCCTGGAACCCTGGCCTGTCCACTCCATACCCGCCGCTGGGAGTGCCAGACAGAAGAGGCAGACAGGCAGGTAGGGCCTAGGGCAGAGCTGCGATCTGCTCTCTACATGTCCCCGTGAAGGGCACTGGTTACACAGGCACAACCCAAATAATTGCCCTTCCCTGTTTTAAAATCATCTACTGTAATGTTTTTAGATAATTTAACTGAACTACTGATTTCATCAATTTTTAAATTTCAAGCTATATCATAGATTCATAGATGTAGGGTCGGAAGGGACCTTGTAGATCTTCTAGTCCGACCTCCTCCCAGGCAGGAGAGAAAACTGGGCCCAAATGACCCCAGCCAGATAAACGTCGAACTTCCTCTTAAAGACCCCCAGGGCAGCAGCTATCACCACTTCTCTCGGAAGTTGGTTCCAGATCATAGTCGCCCTGACTATGAAGTAGTGCCTTCTGATGTCTAGTCTAAACCTACTCTCTAGCAACTTATGGCCATTATTCCTTGTTACTCTGGGAGGCACTTGGGGGAACAAGGTCTCTCCCAAACCCCGCTGGTCCCCTCTAGTAAGTTTATAGATGGCCACCAAGTCCCCCCTCAGCCTTCTCTTGCGAAGGCTGAACAGGTTAAGGTCCCATAGCCTCTCCTCACAGGGTCTGCCCTGCTGTCCCTGGATCATGTGAGTGGCCCTCCTCTGGAGGCTCTCAATGCTGTCCACATCCCTCCCGAATTGCAGCGCCCGGAACTGAACGCAGTACTCCAGCTGCAGCCTGACCAGTGTCACATAGAGGGGGAGGATCACCTCCTTGGCTCTGCTTGTGATACATCTGTGGATGCAAGACAAGGTACAGTTAGCCTTACTGACCGTGTTCTCACATTGTGGGCCCATGTTCATCTTGAAGTCTATAATGACTCCAAGATCCCTTTCTGACACCGTGCTTTCGAGAAGGGAGTGCCCCAGCCTATAGGTATGCTGCTGGTTCCTACTGCCCAAGTGCCACCCCCTGCACTCGTCAGTATTGAAT